AAAAAAAAAAAAAAGATAGTTGGCAGATTACAATCACTACGGAAAATGGTATGGCTTTTCTCAGAAAGCTAGAAATAGGAATATCTTATGATCTAACAGTCCCATTCCTAGGTATATATCCTAGAGATATAAGAGCAGTGAAACAAACAGACATATGCATACCCATGTTCATTGCAGCGTTATTCACAATAGCAAAAAGATGGAAATAACTTAAGTGCCCATCAACAGATGAATGGATAAACAAATTGTAGTACATACATATAATGGAATACTATGCAACTATAAGGGAGTTCTGGTAGCATAGTGCCTAAGGCATTTGACTGCTAACCAGAAGGCTGGTGGTTCAAACCCACCAACCACTCCCTGGAAGGAAGGTTGGGCAATTTACTTCTGTAGTGATACTGCCTTGGAAACCCAAGGAGGGTTCGCTATGGGTCGGATCCGACTCCATGGCAATGGTTGCATTTGCGTTTGTTATGCAACAGTAAAGAGTAATGATGAGTCCACAAGTAGACATTTGTTATATTATTTTTGATTATGGGAAAGGCAATACTCATATGGTGAAGTCTGCACAACTTGACCAAGGTAAATGAAGGTACTTAGAAGTATGCAAGAATAAGAGACAATTTTGGTAAATGTTATAACATACAATTTTGCAACAATAGTAATAACAATGAAAAATATGTGTGTGGTTACACAAGTAGATGTGTATGCATATATGTGTATAAGAAGACATGTGAGTACTTTTATGTGCATGTTTAGGTATATTTGTGTGTGTGTGTGTGTGTGCTGCATATGTATTCATACAGAGTCTTTCTAGACATAACCAAACACCTTGTGGGATTGATTTACTGGGTTAGAAAGCTTAGGACAATAGTCACATTGGACAACTTGGTCAATTGGCATAACACAGCTCATAAGGATAATGTTAGTTCTCCAATCTAGTTTTATGAGTAGCATCTGAGGTCTTAAAAGCTTGCAACTTGCCATCTAAAATATAACTTTTGGTTTCTACTCATCATGAACAAAAAAGAAGGATGAAAACCAAAGACCCAAAGAAGAAACTAGTTCACAGAACTAATAGCCCACATGAACCATGGCCTTAGCTAGCCTGAGACCAAAAGAACTAGACGGTGCCTGGCTATCACTACTGACTGTTTTGACTAGGGGCACAATTGAAGGTCCTGGACAGAATGGCAGAAAAATGTAGAACAAAACAAATTCCTAAAAAAAGGCTAGACTTACTGAACCAATAGAGACTAGAGGAATGTCTGAAACTATCACAAGATACCCTTTGACCTTGGAACTGAAGCCATTTCTGGAGGTCACTTTTCATCCAAATAATAGATTGACTTATAAAATAGACAATATTCCCCATGAGTACTGTGCTCCCTTAAATAATCAACTATCTGAGACCAAATGGTCAATATTTACTCTAAAGCAAAGAGAAAGCAAAAGGAGGCAGGAAAGCTAGACTAATGGAAACAGAACAAATAGAATGTAAATAATGAGAAAGCTGACATATTGTGAAAAATATAGCCAATGTCACAGAGCAGTTTGTATAAAAGTTGTTAAATTGGAACTCAATTTGCTGTGTAAACTTTCACCTAACACACAATAAAATATTATTTTTAACAAAAGATATTTGGTAGATAAGGGTACCAAATACCCTTGGCTGAAGAACATAATGAACATGCTAATGTCATGAACTATATATGAACTAACATGAAGAATGTTGCAATACAAATGTTTTGTTATATATGTATCTACCACAATAATAATAATAATAAATATATATATATATATATTTTTAAAAAATGCTAGCAAGGAAAAAACAAGAGAGACTTGGCTAGCTATAATGTGGATTATATAATTGCAGGGCAAGGGATAGGCCTGAAGGCAGAGTGTTCAGTTAAGAGGCAGTGGCAATACTAGAGGTATTAGCTAAGAAGACAAAGGTCCTTGCCTTCCAAACACTTACAGTTCAGTACCATAGTAGAATAAGGTCAATATTATTAACAGCATGTGCACAGAATGACAGAGCATTGATCATCTCTCTGGCCTTTATGATTTAAGTTTCTTCTATCTTTAACACTCTGCAATTCCAGGCTACCTTCTTATGAAATGTGAACCTGTCCTCTGAACCCCTCTAATCCACAGCTAACAGCATAAACAACAGGGACCATATAAGAATATTTATAGCAGCACTTTTTCATATCAGAAAACAACCTAAACACCCATCAGTGGGAAAATTAATGAATAAACTCTGGTATAGACACTACAGAATATTATATATAGTCAGAGAAAATGAACTATAGAGACACAACTATAAAGATAAATCCTAGACATATAAATTTAAGTGGCAAGTGCCAAAATGTTATATAAAATATGATAATCAACTCATAAAGTAAAAATGTTTACTTTTAAGGGATAAGAACGAATACTTTTAAGAAAAAGGATATAAGGATGAAAATAGAATTTTGGATGAAGATTACTTGGGTGGGGAAAAGTATGGAAATGAAATCAAGGGACCACATGGTTAAAGTAAGTTATTATCAAAGTCCTAAACTTTGAGTGTTGGGTTTGGAAGCTTATTATATTGTTCAAAATAACTAAGGAAATAACTAAATAATAAATATAAGAAATCCGTGCATGGATTATTGATGAGACAGTGTCATAAACTGAGAAATATAATCTACACAATTCTGTGCCCCCTAAGCTCAAAAAAGATAAAAGAGAAAAGATAGGAAGAAAGTAGACAGATTATGGTAATGGCTCACCTACAGGATACCAAGGGGCCATGTCTGGGAATGGGGAAGTGGGAAACTAGCATATAAGAGGAGAGGAGAGAAGAGGTGGGGAGGGGAGAGAAGAGGTGGGGAGGGGAGAAAAGGGGTGGGCAGATCAGGGGAGAGTCTGCAAAGTGCCCAGACTGAGAATTTATGGAGGGGAAGTGAGGGAAAGGGCTTGGATATGTAGGAGAGCTCAGGAGAAAACGTCAGTGCTGATGCTTGGCTAATAGAGAAGAGCCATTTTGTTTCTGATATTGTTTGTGAAGTCCTTTATGAAAGGCTCTTTATGGTAGTTCAGGTTGTATATTAACTTGGCTGGGCCTAGTGGAGTGGGTGGGCAGCTGGATGTAGTTATTCCCCATGGCGAGATTGGTAATTAACTTCATGGTGGAATCTACTGGAGCAGCTGAGTAGCTGCTTTAGGGATGTGGACTGCTTCTAGTATGTAAGAAGCAACTTTGAGGAAGGTATCCAGCTGGTGTTGTTGTTATAGGCCATCGAGTCGGACCCAACTCTCCCCTCCTTGGTTTCTGAGGCAGTATCACTATGGGAGTAGATTGCCCAACCGTTCTTCCAAGGAGTGGCTAGTGGGTTTGAACCACCAGCCCTCTGGTTAGCAGTCAAGTGCCTTATGCACTACACTACCAGAGCTCCAGCTGATAGCATGCTTGAACCCTGCATGTAGCCCAGTCATTGTTCATTCAGCAGCCTGCCATTTTGCTCTACTGGTCTTGGGACTTTTAATGGACTTGAATTAATGGCCTGCCATGTGGTTTGGTAATATCAGGATGGTGCCTATTCACTTGTTGACCTTGGATTTGTCAGCTTCAGCTGCTATCAGCTGCCTGAGGGAAGAAATGCCTCTAGCTTCAGTGGGCTGGGAGCAAGTGGCAGAGTTGAAGCCCAAGGTTGAGGGGCTTTCACCCAGCCCCTAGAGCCTGGCACTTGGAACTTGGATTTCTAACTTCCAAAATTATAAGAGAATAAACTACTGTTTGTTAAAGCCATCCCATTTGTGGTTTATGCCTGTCAGAGTGGCACTAGGTGACCAAAATACTCTTGGAGAGAAATTGAGCCAGATTGCCAAAGTGTAACTCAAAGGGATACTTTGCCTAGAGTGACAAAGAATCTGAATCAGGTTTCAATTTTCCCACTATTAACAAGAACTGGAATAATAGCTCAAGCCCTTGTCCACTATGCACATCAAGCTAAAAACAAAACCCTTGCCTCCCAGTTATTTTATTTACCCCCAGGTTGTAGCAATTGAATCATATTTATGTGCCCCAACATACTCACAGTTTTATGATGTGTGATCCAAATATGTGAACCACTAAATAGCAGGTGGTTTTCAAGGAGAGTTTTTCTAAGAAAAATAAAAAGGGGAATTAGAGTATTTATGCTTTATTATGATGAATTTAACATGTGAGTTAATAATGATTATCTTTATTAGGAACAATATCTGAATGATTAATTTCTGATTAATTCAAGTGATTATTTAAGATGTGGTGGTTAAGGTTGTGTGTTAACTTGGCTGAGCCATGGTTTTGAGTGTTCAGCAGCTGGATGTAGTGCTGGATGTACTTATTACCAATGATGAGATTGTAATCACCACCATGGTGGAATCTTCTGTGAGCAGCTAAGTACTTAGCTTCAGGGTGTGGCCTCCTTCCAGTATATAAGGAGAAGATTTGAGAAAGGTCTCTAGATTTTTGGCACATCTGGATCTTGCATTTGGTCGAGTCTTCATCTTCAGTTCCTTTATTTGAACCAGTGGTCTGCCAGGTTGTGTGCCAATCTTGAGATTGTTCCTGGACTTGAACGAATGGCCTGCCTTGTTGCTTGTTGATCTAGGGATTATGCCATTTTCCCTGCTGCCCCTGGGTTCATCAGCCTCAGTGGCCAGCAGCTGTCTGAGTTAGGGGATGCCTCTAGCTCCAGTGGGTCTAGAATAAGAGGCAGAGCTGAAGTCCAAGGTTGAGGGGCCTTCACCCAGTCCCTAGAGCCAGCACTCTGAATTTGGACTTCTAGTCTCCTAAACTGTAATAGAATAAATTCCTGTTTAAACCATCCACTTATGGCATGTCTGTTATAACAGCACTAGAGAACCAGGGCATAAGCGTTTGGGGAAATGTTACAGTTAATTAAAATATCATTTCCATCTCAACTTTATGTGAATGTCACAGTGTTTACTGTACATACTGAAGTCCACCAGTTTATTGTAAAAACATGGTTAGATTTTGGGGTTTTATTTTCATTTTCATAGCAGGGAATAATGAAGAATATCTGAATATTGGCAAAGATCTCATTTGTTGAAGTTGAAGGAAACATGACTTGCATTAAAGTTAATAATCTGAAACACAGTTCTATCTGCAATATTCTTTTCTGATCTTCATTTTAGGAAAAATTTTCATGCTGGCTTTTCTGTTGTTGTTGTTGTTGTTATTGTTGTCCCAGAAATGAAAAGCACTGCCATTTACACCACACACACACATAGACACATATACAATAACAACATAATCATTTACTGCCTCATGAAAATAAAGGAACACTTTAGTAGTTGATCTATGACATCTGTTCGCTCTCTGATCCTGTTTCTTCAGTTTGTGAGTCTACTACGGAGTCCTGGTCATTCAACCTAGAACCTTAGCATAGTTAGGGGCAGATGAAAAAGAATGGGACCGATTGCCTGAAGAAAATTTATCTTGTCATGTATACTGCATCTCAAACTAGGGCATGTAGGCCCTGCCTAGATGAGATGCTGGATCAAAAGAGTAAATATGGGGAACTCTTTCTAGCACTTCAATTTTACTCAATGGCAATTGTTGTTAGTTGCTGTTGAATTGATTCCAACTCTTGGAGACTCAGTGTGTTCAGAGTAAAACTGCTCCACAGAGTTTTCAAGGCTATGAACTTTCAGAAGCAGATCTCCAGGACTATCTTCTGAGGTGCTTCTGAGTGTGTTCAAATTGCTGGTAAATAATGTTAAATAGTGTATTTATATTACAAAATATATATTCATATGACTTTTTTTTTTTTTTTTAATAAAGCAGGAGATTTCAAATGTATTTTGATCTTGAAGTAGGCCACTACTTATAACCATATTCCTTCATTTCTACCAATCTTGGACAGCTGTATGCCACCAGATTAGATAACTTGGATGAAATAGACACATTCCTAGAAAGACGTAAACTATTGAAACTGACTCAAGAAGAAATACAAAACTTTAATAGACATATAACAAATAAAGAAATTGAGTTAGTAATAAAATAACTTACCACAAAAAAAAAAAAAAAAAAAAAAAATCTTGGTACCAGATAGCTTCACTGATGAATTATACCAAATATTTAAAGAATTAATACCAATTACTTATAATCTATTCCAAAAATAGGAGAGGAGAGAACATTTCTCAACTCATCCTACCAAAAAACCAAACTCACTGCCGTCAAGTTGGATCTGACTCATAGTAACCCTTCCTTCGGTTTCCAAGGCAGTATCTCTATGGAAGTAGATTGCCCAGTCTTATGAGGCCAATATTACCCAAACACTAAAACCAGAAAAAGACATCTTAGGAAAAGAAAACTACATGGATATATGACTATAGATGCAAAAATCTTCAAAAAATACTAGCAAATCAAATCTAGTAGTATATAATAAATAATTATATATAATAATTAAGAGATATTTATCCTAGGAATGCAAGGTTGGTTAACATCTGAATATCAATTAATATAATATACTACATCAATACAATAAAAGGTAAAAACCACATGATCATCTAACAGGCGCTAAACAGTGTTTGACAAAATATAACACTGCTTCATGATAAAAATCTATCTATCCAGAAATAGTAGGAAATTTCTCAACTTGATAAAAGTTGTTTATGTAAAAACCACATAATACTTAATGGTAAATGACTGGCTACTTTTTCCCTAAGATAAGGAATAAATAAAAAATGTCAGCTCTCAGAAATAAACAAAATAGAAAAACAATAGAAAGAATCAAGAAGACTAGAAGTTGGTTCTTTGAGAGGATTAATAAAATTGACAAACCACTGGCAAATTTAAGAAAGAAAGAAGGAGAAGATGCAAGTGACCTGAAAAAGAAATGGAATAAGCAAAGTCACAACAGAACTAACTGAAATATAAAAAAAGATAATAATAGAATATTGAAAAGAGTGATACTCTGCCAAATATGAAAACCTAGAAGAAATGGACAAAATTTTTAGAAACACTACCTACCCAACTAACACAATCTGAGGTAAAAACTTTGAACAGACCCATCACAAAAGAAAAAACTGAATGGTCATAAAAAAAAAAAAGAAAAAATTACTTCTGGTAAGATGGAGGAATAGGCAGACAAGTGACACAGACCCTCTTCAACAAAGAAAAGAGAAACTAATTGACAGAGATACAGAAGATAATCCTAGAGCCCTGACCTTTGAAAGGAAGTATACAGAAGTGGATTAAGCACCAACTAGTGGAAAAACCTGAATGAAAACAGTGAGTACAGAGATGGTTGAAGCTGTGGACTGTCAGCTCCTCTTATGGGACCAATAGCTTGAATATTTCTAAGTGGTATTGGGACCTGAGAATTGACCTAAAGATCAGCCCTGGTCACCAAGGCTGCAGGGACAACTGTGCTGGTAGCCTATGATTAGGAAGGGAAACAGCAAGGAGGAGACAACCTGAGCTGTGGACTTTCCCTGTCTGGAAGGTGCAGCCATTTTGATTGTTTACATGTGGCAGCCATTTTGGGTATTTAAAGTAACCATGGGCATAGCCATTTTGAATGTTTACAAATGGTGGCCATTTTGGATATTTAAAGTGACTGAAGGTGTGGCCATTTTTAATCTTTACAAATGGCATCCATTTTGGATTTTAAAGTGACAGCATTCTTATTTGGATTCCGGGGACCTAAGAACAGGTTCTGTTTGCCAAGGTCAGCAGGGACATACAAGAGGCTGACAACAGGAAAGGAGAGAGGTGGTGAGTGTATAAGTGCTATCAACTAGTGAATAGAGGAGCACAGCACAGTACCCTGCTTACAAAGATAATATACAAACAAAACAAAGAAAATGAAAATCATGGGCAAGTCACTCCAACATACAATCACCAATTAAATATAAACACAAAAATGTCACAATGCCTCAGAGACAACAGAGCATCACAGTCCACACAAAGAAGCAAGATAAAGCTGGAGAAATAAGGCACCGGGACACAGACTCATAACACATCCCAGAGGAAGAAACAGCATTGGAACTCCCTGATAGAGAATTCAAAGGAATTATATTTAGGTACCTTCAATGAACTGAGAGGCAGATCAAGGAAAACACTGACAAAATTGAGGAAAACACAGAGAAGACCCTAGAACAATTTTGAAAGACAATACAAGAACAAAATGACAAAATAAATGAAATATTAGAAATGATACAAAATCTACAGACAGAAATCCAGAAGATTAACACTAAATTGTCAGAAATAGATAACACATTGAATGCGCAAGGGAATAGAACTGAATCAATGGAAGACAGAATTAGTGACATTAAAGACTAATACCTCAATACTTCTCTGGAAAAGGATCAATCAGAAAAAAGATCAAAAGAAAATGAAGCAAGCCTAACATTCACGTGGGATACCATCAAAAGGAATAACCTACATATAATCAGAATTCCAGAATAGGAAGAGAAAAAGAAAACCACAGAGAAAATTGTTTAAGATTTGTTAGAAGAGAATTTTCCTGGTATGATGAAAGATGAGAATATATCCATTCAGGAAGTCCAATGAACCCTAAACAGGATAGACCCCAAAAGAAAATCAGCAAGACATATTATCATCAAACTCACCAAAACCAAAGACAAGGAAAGAATCATGAAAGCAGTGTGGGAAAAACGAAAAGTTACCTACAATAGCAACCAATAAGACTAAGCTCAGATTTCTTGGCAGAAACCATGCAGGTGAGAAGACAATGGGATAATATATATAAAACACCGAAAGAGAAAAATTTCCAACCAAGAATTATGTACCCATCAAAACTGTCCCTTAAATGTGATGGTGAAATTAGGACATTTCCAGATAAGCAGAAATTAAGGGAATTTGTTAAAACCAGACCAACCTTACAAGAGATGCTAAAGGGAG